CCGCGCCGGACTCGGACCAGCGTGCCCGGCGCGATCGAGGAGTTACGCACTTTGTTGATAACACCATTGCGAACTGTTTCCACTGAAAAAAAGACTTCAAATCAGCATTTTACAGCGACTTGTCTTGGCTTTACAAGATTAAAATGTAACTGGCTTGGACTACTCGTAAGAATTTTCTATTTGTAGAAGAATTTTGAATATCAGTTTTAGTTGCAGGTTTATTATGAACGGAAAATCGTGTCTCAAATAACTGGGACAATAGTATGCAATCTATGGACAGTTCAGTTTGATTGCAGATATTCTTTTGCCTTCAAAGTCACGTGAAGGACTGTGGATGTGGGGAGCTGATTAGATAACGTCCGCACTGGGTCAGGTTCGACGTTCAAGTGTTTTTATTTTTTTCACAATTTCCTTTGTTGCCTGACCGTGTGTTTTTTCACTGGCGAAAACTCTGTGCAATAACATATACCGAGATACCAATACATGTAATATGAGTAAAGAGATCTTTGGAGTATTAACATTTACTTTACTAGAATTAACATCACCATTATTGTAAGGGAAAGAACCCTCAGATTAGATAATTACAGATTAACTGGAATTATGAAAACAAAATAAATTTAGCTCATTATCTTATCATAAATTGGATCCAGCTTTAATTGATGCCCCATATTAAATAACTTGCAATCTTTAATGAATTTAATTAATTACCTTCAAAATTGAGAACAAATGGAAAATCGCTTATTGGTTAACGAAAAATATACTTCGACATCCTAATGGCAAGCCTTGCTTATAAAACATCAACTCCAATTCCAGTTATCGATGAAATTAAACGAAATTATACCAAAAAGCTGCATCGTTATTTAACTGTATGAAATTAACTATTAATACGAATTTACGATGATTTACTAAGGATTTCTCACAGCGCATTCCTCTTATCCTCCGTCCCTTCTCATAACCATACACACTTACCGGTCTGATTGTTGACCTTGTTATCAGCCCTGTGCCGCAGCCAGTCTTCATAACCCTGTTTTACCGCCGTCACCAGCACCATGAAGCTCAGCGGTGCGATGCTTGTGAACGGCGACACGGGGCTATCTGTCAAAATGTTACATCAACAACTATATTCACAGCTTATTTTAATTAACAGATAATTATACAAGCATCAACATAATTTATGACAGTAATGCCTCAAGTTTGGAATACTAATCTAACCCGAATGGGCCTTGAAAGATAACCAGTCCGGCTTACAGCTAACCAAAAGTAGAACCCATTTAAGTTTAGGAACCATAGATTTTAGACATTCTACGATCATTTACGAAGCTAATAATTGTTATGATGAATCAATTTTTGAAATCTGAAAGGTAATTTAAAGACACAAACATGCAAAGAAATCACTACCTCAAAGTTCACGTCAACGCATATTACCTTATTTACAAAGAACTGTTTTGTACTCAATATTTATGCAAATCGATAATACACTGCACTGTAATCAACTTGTCGATTAAATTATTATGAAGATGATAAACCGTTACAGCATTATACATAACATTTAATAGTTGCCAACTAATACTTAATAAATTTTATGAAAACATGTTCCTTTATCTATTTCTCAAATAGATTCCCCGGATAGAAATTCAAGCTAGCATCACATATGTTCATCATCATCCACTTGCCCTTATCTCTTACGGAGGGTCGGCACAGTATATGCTGCTCTTTCATACATCTCCATGAATCATGAATCCACTCCTAGCATCACATATGTTGTACCTTATAATTGTTCTTTATAAAATCATGTCCATAGAGCATTAATTACTAGAGATTTCAGAGGGACAAGCTTACTAGTTTGGCTTTTCAGACTATAAAAAGTGCAGCGTCATTGGTTTATATGTAGGGTTATTATGATTCAGTAAAACATACCTATAACAACAGCGATAACGGTGACGATGAGGAAATAGAAGTTCACAACCCTACGGAACTGCTCCATCAAGTTTTTAGGCAGAAACATGAGCAGCGTATACTTGGATGTCTTGATCTTGTTGTGCTTCTTCTTGCTGCGCTCGTCCACCGCCCCCACTTCTATCAGACGAGTCTCGGCCGCCGCTGATACTTTGTTAGACTGCACAGGACATTTAATATGAGCCTTTTCAATGATAAGTCTACATCGGTTAAAGACGGATGCCTACCTCCTCTATAGAATCTTAGACTGAGGAAATATTAAAATTTTGTATTAACTTGTTTAAATTATTTTATAGGTAACCATAAAGTACTGCTTAGATGGCGTGGCATAAGTAAATATGTTTTAAAAAAATAGAGCATGACCCTATCTTATTTGCGAAAATTGACAAGTACCTAGCACTGGCAAATGTTATCATTTGATATCATTATTCACAATAGAAACGTAATCGTGTCCGATTAGAGCTAACCTCTCTATCCTGTCGCGATTTGTGCAATGAAAATATCTGTTAATCCATGATCGGTTCTGAATAGATTTTGACCTCCGCTGCAGTACACTTAACATGTTCTTATCCCTTACATTCTCTTTGAGAAAATAGAGACAACATCTATGCAACATTCACGACAGTGAAACTTACAGTAAGGTTAAAAACTCCTCAATAAAAAGTTTTTGTTTCAAGTTATAATTTCGTATCAATTTGTTATCAGAGCTGTCAATCATTTATTATCGTCTTTATTTTAAAAAATACTTGTATTTTGTAAGATTTTTTATTTTATTCGAGTTTACTAATTTTCGTCTTAGTGAAACTTTATACCGCACAAATGTGTTTAATTAAAATTTTGAATAAATAATAAGATTTTTGAAGGACTGTTTATTAATTAAAACTTACCAAGATTGCACGTATCGGAAAGTGTGAAGGGCCATCGGATGACGTCACAATCGATAATTTCATTCATTAAATATTACACTGATTACGTGATGAGAAAATGACGAAATATTAACAATCTAAAGTGCAAGTTTACAACGATTTAATAAACTATATATTTTCATAGAGCAAAACATTTAAACAGTAGGGTAGCCGGAAACTTGTTTATATTTTGACAACAGAATTTGCAATAGATAAAGGAGAAAGTGAGAATCGAATATCAAGAGACTGTGGCACAAGAGAGACTGGACTGGAAATTTCTCTACTGACAAGAACGAACGTATTTCTAAAGTAAGATAGCTAATGTAAAATGAAATTAATGTAAAATATTTAAAAAAATAGTTAGCAAATTGGATTTACAATTTTGAAGTCTAAGTGCGTTCATTTTTGCGATTACATCACTTATTAATGTCTTTCAAGACATAACAATGGGTAATTAGGTTCATTCCTTTAAAGAACGTACTGAAAATTCTATTTTTTTTCTCTACCCAATATGCGTGAATAATCAGCAACAAAGAAACAAAGTTGTTAAAAAGCTTGCTAAAATTGAAAAGTTACCCTCATTTGTGTCCACACGTAAACTTCAATACGTCAAAGTCAAGTTCACCATGTCAACAATTAGTGGGAACTGAGGGTTCGCAATGCGGTTGCAGCGTGGGACAGCCCCAGCTGTGGGCAGCAGCTGCGACCGCGGATGGGCAATTTCCACAACATAATAACAACGAAGAGGTTGTCGCAATGCCGCCACGTGTTATTACAGAAAGCTTTCTATGTTTTTTTTATTATTTTTGCAAGAAACAATAGTTCAATCAATTCCATAATAATCAAAGCATGGTACAATATTTTTAGAAGATTCTCACGTGACTTGAATAAGCTTCGGAGTTGGGGATTGCAAAATTTTATATATAGTAATTGATTTTGAGTGTGGAGGGGTACACCGGTAGAGGTAAACCTAGAAAGAGATGGATGTATTGCGCGAAGGTGCCATGATCAAGAAGGGAGTGATGACTGAGATGACGGATATTAGTTTTTTGAAAAACAAAAACTAGGTGCGCTGATGGTATGAGAGGTGATGGTGATGACTATTTTGATACATTATCATCTTTTTGACACTATCATTGTTGCTGCAAGTGCCGCATCGTCGGGCGTCAAGTAGTGTACTATTGTCTTTCGTCTATCGAATGTGCTTTTCTTTTTTTATGAAATCCTAATAATTAAACGCAAAATAATATATATTAAGTATATTTTGCTGTGTCATGCATACGTCTTTATAAACTCGTGTCTAATGCTGGCCATTGTAATTTCGGGTTTATGACTAATGTCGTTGTCGTAACAAGCGTTGCCAATCTTAATCACTATTTGCACTTCACTATCGTGGTTTTATCGTGGATAATGTTCCGTCTTTATACGGTCGCATGTCCTTAAGTGTTTTATAACCAGCGATTGTCCATTAGTCCAAATTCATGGTATACTTTGAATAGACTTAGTTTTTGCATCAACTACCTAGTCTAGTTTTCACAGTGCCTTGCTTACTAAAAACAAACAAGAAATTTTTAAATAACGCTCTTTCTATCGAATGATAATTTCCCGCTCGAGTGGTAGAATGCTCGTCCATATATTAATAAATTGTATTAAAATTAAGGGGGATAATGTGTTTAATTTTCTTTCCGAATTCATAAATTACGAAATACAGATAATATTTATGTAGACAATAACAAAGGACTTAGACTGATCTAGGTTATTATGCGCTTAGTGCGTCTATAAAAAATTATCTAAACACAAAATCGGTTAATGCACTCGATTGAAGATCGTGAAATGGAATACTGATTGTAATTGGCAATAAAGAGATCTCAAACATCGAGACTCGGATCGCTTTTACTAAGTGAAATGTTTAATACGATATCATATCAGTCGATAAATTTAAATGATTTTCAATGTTTTTAACTTTTTAAATTTGAATACACAATATTTTTATGCTAATCCATTAAAAACAAAACAATACACGATCTTATCATTAGTACGAAATTATCGCAAGCGTAGTTTGCATTTTAAAGGAAGTCAATATGTAAGATTACCAATCATTGCGAAAGAAAAAATCAATCTATTGAAATTGAAGTATATCTGCCTCTCTCATTCCCTTTTTAAAAAGCGAAACATAAGTTTTTTTTTTGCCCGAACAGTAGAAACACTTGTAACTGGCACATAGGTCCACAATCGGCGTATTAAACGTGTTATAGCGCGAAAAGCGTATTATCCATAAAGTAATTTTAAAAAGGCATTGGAATAGAAATAATTTAGTCAATTTTATTTATCAACTTTCACTGGGGAGTTCTTAATTAACGTTCGATCTGATAAAAGATTGTATTCGAGAATAATATATTTTATCATAAATGTAATGACGATTTTTATCTGAATGATGAATTCGTTACTGGTTTATCCCATTTTAAAATCTTAAAATGAGTACGTCTCTAATCATATTGTGACGTCAGGCTTTTATTTATAGGTATTGGTGCTATGGGCGTCGCCTGCCGATGGTCTAGAAGTCTTGGGGGGTTAGAGATTAAGGG